GTATTTTGACTAGTTCAGTAATGAACAGAAACATTGTAAGTAACTGCAATGTGATGAATTGGAATTCTTCATATATGTAGCCAGTACAGGTACAGATGGGACATATGGAATGGCCACTCCTCATCTGCTTCAACCAGCACAGGTTCCTAGGCATCTATTGCAAGAACTTATTCTTTAACCCATCATAATACTAAGGACTGACAGTGTCCCTCTCACTTCCTCCACAATCTGTTGATATTTTGTCTGGTCAGTTCTTAGGTGACATTTTTCTTGCGTACAACAGTAATCTCTTTCACAAACTGCTAACACTGGAAAAGGTCAAGAATAGGCTCAGACTGTGAGATATTTGGCAAAATCAACTTCTTTATTCCAGGACACACCTACAGCTAAGGCCAAGGCTGAATTCTGCCAGAACATCCAACGCCCCAACTGCCCACACAACCATGTACACCCAGCTTTCTCCTCTGTTCCTACTCTCACTTTCCTGGTTCAATGTTCAAAGACGACAAGAGCCATACCTGGTCAGGACTCGTTCAAAAAGTCCTTCCAATGTTGTATCAGAAAACACTAGAAAAATAACATGTCAATAAACAATGGGCCATAATCAAAACAGAAAATTGTTCTCTGTCTTCATTAAAGCCCTTGAATTAAGAATGTGAGAATTTCTGTGGTTTTCATACATCCAGAGAATATTGCCAAGTTCTAAGAGACTACACCTTCAGAATACATCTCTTACCCCCTTAGGGGAGAAATATCCACCTGGTGAAACTAGAGAATTTCACATCATCTGTAGGACATTATCTTGTTGGGTTTTTTTTCTCAGATAATCTTTATACCTGTTCAAAATGAACCAACATGCACTTTGATATGCAGAGCACAGGAAAGTGATCCCCACTGGATGATGGATCATCTAAACTTACAGTCACATGTCCCTACCTGCTTTACCTCATCCAAATATTCTTCAAATTTCTAAAAATCCCACAAACACTAGGCAATTATGAAAGCCTGATACGTTGTCAGATGTCAAAAGGCAGTTATACACATTTACTGTTTTGTGCTGCCCAAAGTCAAGTGACTTCAATGGGCAACAGAAAAGAGAACAGGGTGACAGAATGAAGAAGCATTGGTATCAAAGGAAGAGGCATTTCACACAATATCTAGACATCATTTTTTGTTTTTCCCAACAAGTTTTCCTTGTAGAAGAGCACTACCTGTCCTGGAACAACACTTTGTAGAGGTACCAGGTCTGAAAATCTCAGAGATGCATCTGTGTCAGCCTCCAAGTGCTGGGATTCAAGGTGTGTGACACCACACTTGGTTATCCACTAACCAATTGTTTTAAAAATGGAAGTATGCTAATGAAGACTAGAGTGAAGTTGTCTTTGGGGTTCACATCTGTACTCCTCATGTGGAGGTCATGGGGGAAGAGTAGCAAGTCAAGCAAGGAGGCCAAATCACAAACACGCTAATGAACGTAGTAAACATTAGTTTGAATTGGAAGTCAAGGGACGCATCAGAAAAGTAAAAGGCCCAAAAATGATACTGAGATATGTATCAGTAGGTGATATTGATCTTAAAATCATCAACAAGTCAGATTAGAAAAAACTGAAGCACTCCATATCAGAACATGAGATTCTCCATGTTGAAAATCAATCAGAAAAAGCACTTCTGTGGAATGTTCGAAGAGGATGTCAGACCACGTTGTTCAAGGTTTACTCAATCAATACTCCATGTCATTGCTTAAGAATAATTAATGGAGAAAACCATACTAAAACATAATCTAAATCAATATTATCAACACAGCATTTATAAGGTTACAGTGAAGATGTTAACCAGGAACCACGCATTAGTGCATCATGGGACAACTGGGTGCACATGGATTACCTGGTCCTAGAGTTACATGGGCTCCCTATTGCCACTTTCCTTTCTCTAACAGAGGACGATGTGAAGAATAGAATACTCAGTAATCTAGTTCTACAATATCATAGTTTCTATGAATTGAACCAGTTCTGAGAATTCTGGAATGCCTTTCTGGGGCCAAACAGGCTGTCAGTTTTGTGGGTCTAAGTTACTAGGCATTCCTGCTTTGTGTCCTAACTTCATGCTGAACTGAACAAAACAATCAGCTAAATGTTATATATGTGGTAACACATTCATATAATGCCATGAATGGACTTTATCACTTCATAGCAGAGAGACTACCCATCTATAGTCTCAATGACAAGAAGAGTATGGACAAAAGGATGTATAGAAGAAAATGCCCCCACAATCACATTTCAGAGGATCAGAGTCACAGTTCTATAAAACTAGAGCTTAAACAATGAGAGAACCTTCATTTCTAATATCTGAACTTTGTCTGATCACTTCAACATTACTGTGGGATGGTCTGTATGTCAAATGTGTTACTGATTGGTCAATGAATAAATCACTGATTGGCCCGTGGCCAGGCAGGAAGTATAGGCGGGACAAGGAGGAGAATAGAGCTGGGAAGTGGAAGGCTGAGGGGGGACACTGCCAGCCGCCATCAGGACAAGGAAGATGTAAAGTACCGGTAAGCCATAAGCCACGTGGCAAGGTATAGATTAATAAAAATGGATTAATTTAAGCTGTAAGAACAGTTAACAAGAAGCCTGCCATGGCCATACAGTTTGAAACCAATATAAATGTCTGTGTTTACTTGATCGGGTTTGAGCGGCTTGGGACTGGTGGGTGAGAGAGATTTGTCCTGACTGTGGGCCAGGCAGGAAAACTCTAACAACAAATGGCGCCCAACGTGGGGCAAGAGTTTCCACCTAAAACCTAAAAAAAAAGATTCTAAAACGGAGCTAAAAACAGCTTCCTAATTGTCTCTCTCAAATGAGCGGCAGCTGCCGGTTTAAGCTACTGGCGGGTTGCTGGCATGCGCGCTCGACCTGCCACAGTATGGCGGGAATGAGGCCTCTACAAATGGCACTTTAAACTGCATGATGGATTTAGACTTTGCTAGCACAAAACAAAAAAAGAGATTTCTGGGCTACACACTACTTTGATAAAAACACAGACCCACTATTTCTGAGAGTTGATGGCTCCCAGAGCTGGCGGAAAATGTATCACCGCCATTTTGGAAAGCTAAAATGGGCGGAGCCAGCAGCCAGCAGCGCCAGTGCCATTTCAGGCTTAGAAGGCTGCAGTTCAAAACAATAGGCTCAAGCTAATATAAAAAAATAAGCCATGTAAAGATGGCTACCACACAAAAAATCTGGATTATGTTCTCTTTGATATTCGTAACTAAAAAAAAACATTTGATTACAAAAGCTGTTGAGTTATGCCAAAATGTATATTTTAAAGGTACCTTGACTTCAAAATTTGGATATAAGGATATGTTGCTTAAGTACTGTGGGATGGTCTGTATGTCAAATGTGTTACTGATTGGTCAATGAATAAATCACTGATTGGCCCGTGGCCAGGCAGGAAGTATAGGCGGGACAAGGAGGAGAATAGAGCTGGGAAGTGGAAGGCTGAGGGGGGACACTGCCAGCCGCCATCAGGACAAGGAAGATGTAAAGTACCGGTAAGCCATAAGCCACGTGGCAAGGTATAGATTAATAAAAATGGATTAATTTAAGCTGTAAGAACAGTTAACAAGAAGCCTGCCATGGCCATACAGTTTGAAACCAATATAAATGTCTGTGTTTACTTGATCGGGTTTGAGCGGCTTGGGACTGGTGGGTGAGAGAGATTTGTCCTGACTGTGGGCCAGGCAGGAAAACTCTAACAACAAATGGCGCCCAACGTGGGGCAAGAGTTTCCACCTAAAACCTAAAAAAAAAGATTCTAAAACGGAGCTAAAAACAGCTTCCTAATTGTCTCTCTCAAATGAGCGGCAGCTGCCGGTTTAAGCTACTGGCGGGTTGCTGGCATGCGCGCTCGACCTGCCACAGTATGGCGGGAATGAGGCCTCTACAAATGGCACTTTAAACTGCATGATGGATTTAGACTTTGCTAGCACAAAACAAAAAAAGAGATTTCTGGGCTACACACTACTTTGATAAAAACACAGACCCACTATTTCTGAGAGTTGATGGCTCCCAGAGCTGGCGGAAAATGTATCACCGCCATTTTGGAAAGCTAAAATGGGCGGAGCCAGCAGCCAGCAGCGCCAGTGCCATTTCAGGCTTAGAAGGCTGCAGTTCAAAACAATAGGCTCAAGCTAATATAAAAAAATAAGCCATGTAAAGATGGCTACCACACAAAAAATCTGGATTATGTTCTCTTTGATATTCGTAACTAAAAAAAAACATTTGATTACAAAAGCTGTTGAGTTATGCCAAAATGTATATTTTAAAGGTACCTTGACTTCAAAATTTGGATATAAGGATATGTTGCTTAAGTACTGTGGGATGGTCTGTATGTCAAATGTGTTACTGATTGGTCAATGAATAAATCACTGATTGGCCCGTGGCCAGGCAGGAAGTATAGGCGGGACAAGGAGGAGAATAGAGCTGGGAAGTGGAAGGCTGAGGGGGGACACTGCCAGCCGCCATCAGGACAAGGAAGATGTAAAGTACCGGTAAGCCATAAGCCACGTGGCAAGGTATAGATTAATAAAAATGGATTAATTTAAGCTGTAAGAACAGTTAACAAGAAGCCTGCCATGGCCATACAGTTTGAAACCAATATAAATGTCTGTGTTTACTTGATCGGGTTTGAGCGGCTTGGGACTGGTGGGTGAGAGAGATTTGTCCTGACTGTGGGCCAGGCAGGAAAACTCTAACAACATAACATTGTTGTCCAAATTTGATATTGTACCATATGGAACTGAGACATTGATTACCTCCTCCACACTGCATCCTGCTAGGCTAAAATCCCAAAGAAAAGTCAAGGATGCGAGGTATCCTGCCCTGTCAGGAAAGGTCACCTGTAAGGACCTGAAAGGTGCCTTTGTTTTGCCTTTCTTATAAAGACTGTGGCCTTGCTTCCTCCAGCACACACTTGGGAGTAACTCCAGAGCCTCTTCCAAGATGCTGGTGGTCCTGCTCACAGCAGCCTTATTGGCCCTGAGCTCTGTTCAGAGCTCAAATGCAGGTATAAAGTAGGAGAGAGGGTAGTAGAGAGACATGGGATTTGGGCAACACACTGAAGTTCAGGACTGGGAGGAATGGGGGGAAATGACATGCAACTGAGGCAAAGAAATATGGGAACAAATATTAGAACATTTATATCATCATTTTGCTTGTAGATTTTGGGTTTAAATAAAGCAAAATTTAAGAAAATATTCTTGCAACAAAATAACATAAGTGGATTTGTGAAAAGATGTTTTTGTTGGTGGATGATGTATGGCAATAAGTTACAGTTGACAGAGAGAAACTCAGTACTCAAGGTGTTAGAGAAGCAGATAGTGAATGATACTAGGCTTGGTATACAGAGGATAGAGAAAAATGAAAGAAGTAAATACGTATTAGGCATATCTTTGAGAAATAGAAATAGGAAAATATAATAAATTTGAAACTCTGTTTACAAATAACTAGAAATTTCAGGAAATAATTTCTTTTAAAAATCATTTCTGTGTATGTCTGTGCATGCACCACTGTGTGTGAATGTATGTGTATGTATGTGTGTGCATGTACATATGTATGTGTATGTATGTGTGTGTATGTACATATATGTGTGTGTGTGTGTGTGTGTGTGTGTGTGTGTGTGTGTGTGTACAATGTGCATTTGAGAAAGCGAAAGGTAGGCATACACACACACACACACACACACACATACACACACACAAAGAGTGAGAGAGGCAGAGACAGAGTTAGACAGAGACAGGGACAGAGAGACAGAGAGAGAAAGAGAGAGAATTTGAATGCTTATTCACATTCCTGCCTGAGGACAACCTTTTAGCACCAAGCTATCTTTTTATAGCTTGTGGCTCCAGGAACTGAATTCAAGTCAACAGACAAGCACTTTTTTCCTCACTGAGATATCTGGCTGGACCCATTTCTCTATTGTAATGACACACATGCAATGTTCATTGTTCTATACATGGCTTTAAAGCAATGTTTGTTCTTATTTCCATGCATGAAATGCCTAGGGATATACCCTGTAAGAAATGAACGTCATAAAAAAAAACAAAACATAAGAGTGTGAACACATTACCGTGAAATTCCCCTAATGTAAAGGAGACGGACAGTAAGGATGGACACAGCTAAAGAGGAACAAAGTAATGGTTGCTGCTGCCATGGAGACTATCCTGGCAACATTATCAGCAACATTATGCAAGATTAAATTCTGCATAGTGGATGTGAACTGGTAGTTTAAAATCATCTTTATTGAGCATCCAGAAAATGTCATGAGTAAATTTTCATTTATTTTGTGCTTCTTTTCTAGCAATCATCTATGGAAACCCTTCTTCGCAGCTCCTAGGTAAAACCAGATTCTTCCTCTATTGACATTCTATGTATCCTTTATTCTATAACTATTCAGTTCTATAATATCTCGTTAACATTTTGTTATTCTATGAAAGGAATGATTGACAGCTTCCCCTGAGGTATATGGGAAGACTTCCCAACAATGCTTCTAGGAACTGGAGCAGGGTTGTACAATGGAAGAGTAGGAAGCCAGGTTTTTATAACAGGAACATTTCTGTCTATTCCACAGATTGAAGTAATGGCTTGCATATGATGAACACATTGGGGGTCCTAATTTAAAATCTCCGGTAGCACTATAGGTTGTTTGTAGAATTCTTCTTTCACCAGTGACTCCAAGGAGAATTATATGATTGATCAGAAGATACGCAATCACACAGATCCAATGCTCTCCCACTATAAAAATTTATTTTTCTCTGGTCTGTATGCACAGTTAAATAATACATACAAAAACACTGCAAGAAAATTGAATGGAACATCTTCCCATTGCTATCCTACATTTCTTTCTTGTTCTCCACATGGTTATAGGACTCTAAACATCATGAGATATTTAAGAATAGAGCATTGCTCTCACAATTTTGCTACTCTGCCAACTTCTAAATAATAACATTAAAAAATTCTTCCCCTTTCTTCGTGTCTGAGAAATATAAAGAACACAAAGTCATCTTTAATGCACCGATTTTGAGAACAAATATATGTCAGAAGTATGGAGACATAAGGAAGTTCATATGATAAATGTGAAAAATAATCTTAAAGGAGAATCAGGGACATAATATTGTGAGGGTGTTATCAGAGAAAGAGAAGGTATAAACTCATTCTACATTGATCTATACCCAAACAGAGGGAGAACAGCAAAACCAAGGCCATGGTCAACAGCATCAGAGACCCCCTCCTGGAGAATTCCCCCCAGGACCTTCTGCCTCTGAGGAAGATGATGGTGAAAATGCTGATGACAGTGAAGAAGAGGGAAATGCACCAGAGGGACCACCACAAGAAGGAGACAATAACCAGCAACCTCGCCCTCCTAGACCTGGAAACCAGCAAGGCCCACCCCAGCAGGGAGGCCAGCAGCAGAATAAACCTCCTAGACCTGGAAACCAGCAAGGCCCACCCCAGCAGGGAGGACAGCAGCAGAACCAGCAAGGCCAACCCCAGCAGGGAGGACAGCAGCAGAACCAGCAAGGCCCACCCCAGCAGGGAGGACAGCAACAGAATAAACCTCCTAGACCTGGAAACCAGCAAGGCCCACCCCAGCAGGGAGGACAGCAGCAGAATAAACCTCCTAGACCTGGAAACCAGCAAGGCCCACCCCAGCAGGGAGGACAGCAGCAGAACCAGCAAGGCCAACCCCAGCAGGGAGGACAGCAGCAGAACCAGCAAGGCCCACCCCAGCAGGGGGGACAGCAACAGAATAAACCTCCTAGACCTGGAAACCAGGAAGGCCCACCCCAGCAGGGAGGACAGCAGCAGAACCAGCAAGGCCCACCCCAGCAGGGAGGACAGCAGCAGAACCAGCAAGGCCCACCCCAGCAGGGAGGACAGCAGCAGAATAAACCTCCTAGACCTGGAAACCAGCAAGGCCCACCCCAGCAGGGAGGACAGCAGCAAAATCGCCCTCCTAGACCTGGAAATGAACAAGAACCACCCCAGCAGGAAAGTGAGGAACAGCAAAGTTCCCTGTAGACATTTTCTGCATAACCACAAAGTTCCTCATCAGGACAAAGGTAATCTGATAGTTTATCCTTCACACCAGTCCCCAAATGCCATGGATCAGCACAGTTCTCCTAAAGAATTAGATCACATATACATCCAAAATTTAAATGGACTCTATACCCTAGAATTCTTTGATGGATGTGATTTACCTTCACTCTCCATCAAAGTCTTAACTCTACCAGAATTAGAAAGCCAAAAAACTAAGAAGTATCTCAGAATATATTGATACTGCATGTTGTGTCTTTCTTCTTGGTGACCTTATTTATTTATTTGTTTGTTTGTTTGTTTATTTATTTTAGGTGAACTGGAAGACTTACCTTTAGTGTCTTTTCAATGCAACAATGATGTTGTAAGTTTACCTTCAACTCTCTAATAAAATATTTAGCATGTAATTACTGTTTGCTGTTTCTTATTCTGAGTATGAGTGAGTGAAATCTGGTGCTTGTTGCCAAATGTGAAGATAGAACCATTCCCTTTAGTTACTTCCAGAAAGTGGCCCTCTTTCTCCCTTACAAATGGGCAAACTATCACTTGAGAGATCCCCTTTTTTCCATCCATGGAATTCTGCCTACAGCTTTGCTGTATGTCCCAGATGCCTGCAATGTTAGCAGGAGACTTCATGATTGACACGGATTTCAAGATTAAACTGTATAAACAGATTGAACTACATAAAATGCCCTTAATTAGTCACGTGCATGGTTTGACCAGTAGGCTAAGGAACATTTGTCTAGGAGTAACTGAAAAAGATAGTCTTTGGCCAGGTGGTGGTGGCGGCACACAACTTTAATCCCAGCACTCGGGAGGCAGAGGCAGGCTGATCTCTGTGAGTTCGAGGCCAGCCTGGTCTACAAAGTGAGTTCCAGGAAAGGCACAAAATTACACATTGAAACCCTATCTTGGAAAAAAAAATAAAAAAAAAAAGGTAGTCTTTATTTCTCTCAGTTCACAATTGACAAATGAGGAAGTTCCTGTTCCTACAGCTAGTATTCTTTTAGGCATTCAAGTATCAACGAGCTCACATTTTTCCTCTGATTTGGACTGGTGTATAATGCAATGGTGTCATTGGGACATGATGTTCATTGTTTTCATTGCCCTTTTTCATTTTTTATTAGTATTGTATACCTAGACCTTAGGAGCAAATGAAATTTTTAAGTAGTTTAAGTAACTTTTAGAACTTGAAGCATGATCCTAACTAGTCTTATCAATAAAATACAGGAGTCAGACATTGAGCGAAAAGCTGATCTTGCCTTTAAGAGCTGAATTTCCACTTTCACTGTGAATTAGCATTTTGAAAAGCCACAGATTAAATTATTATATGCCTATCTTCTGAATTTGGTATCATTCTAGTTATGGCTGAAGTCAATTTTCTTTATTAAGCAGTGTTCATCTCATACTCTCTCTTTAAAAATCCATTTTACATACCAACCACAATTCCCCTACCACACCTTCTCCTGCTACCCTCAACCTGTCGACTCCCCTTCAGCCCTCCCTCATCCACTCCTTCCAAAAGATAAGGCCTCCCATAGAGAGTCAAAAAGCCTGGTATATTGCATTGAGGCAGGACAAAGACCCTCCCCTCTGCATCAGGATGAGCAAGGCATCCCACCATAAGGAATTGGCTCCAAAAAGCCAGATCATCTGCCAGGGATAGATCATGGTACCCCTGCCAGGGTTCCCTCAAACAGACCAAAAATACTGTCTCCTACATGCAGAAGGCCTAGTTCAGTCTCATGCAGGCTCCCAGCTGTTGATCTAAAGTCCATGGCCTCCCACAAGCTTGGTTCATCTGTCTCCATAGGTCTCCTCATCATGATGGTAACACCTCCTTGCTCACATAATCCCTCCTCCCTCTATTCCACTGAACTCACAGATCATGGCCTGATACTTCTTGGCTGTACATTTCTGCATCTTCCTCCATCAGTTGCTGGATGAAGACTCTGTGATGACAGTTACGATATTCATCAATCTGATTACTGGGGAAGGCCAGTTCAGGCACCCTCTCCACTATTCCTAGTAGTCTTAGCTGGGGTCATCCTTGTTGATTCCTAGGAATTTCCCTAACTCCACAATGGCTCCCTCTATCAAGATATATTTTTGTTGCTATACTACAACTACCCTCCCCCAGCTTGACCATACATTTCCCTCATGATCTCATTCCCCATCTCCTCTCCTCTACCACTTCCCTCCCACCACCTCCAGTTTTCCCACGAAACCTCATCATTTTCACCTTCCTGGAGCAATCAATGTGTGCCTCTTAGGGTCCTATTTGTTACTTAGCTTCTCTGGATCTGTGGGTTGTAGTCTGAGTATACTTTGCTTTACATCTAGTATCCACTTATGAGTGATCACACATCATAGTTGCATTTCTAAGTCTGGTTTAGCTCACTCAGGATGATTATTTCTAAATCCATCCTTTGTCTGCAAATTTCTTGATGTCATTGATTTTTGCACCTGAGTAGTACTCCATTATGTAAATGTACCACATTATCTTTATTCATTCTTCAGCCGATGGACATCTAGGTTGTTTCCAGGTTCTGGCTATTCTGAATAGTACTGCTATGAACTTATTTGAGCAAGTGTCCTTGTAGTATGATTGAGTATCCTTTGGGTATATGCCCAAGAGTGATATATGGTTGGGTCTTGAGGTAGATTGATTCCCGGTGTGCCAAGAAATAGCCATACTAATTTCCAAAGTGGCTGTACGAGTTTGCACTCCCAGCAGCAGTGGAGGAGTGTTCTCTGAACTCCAAGCCTCTCCAACATAAGCTGCCCTCAGTTTTTTGTTTTTCTTTTATTTTTTAATTTTTTTGAAAAAAATTTATAATTAATTTAATTTTACATATTAACCACAGATTCCCCTGTCCTCCGTCCTCCCACCCCTCAGTCTTCTCCCCCAATCCACTCTCCAGGCAGTGAGTGTAAATAGAAGAAGAAATCTGGGGAAAAGAAAAAAGATCTAGTAGCCAGAGAGGGAGGAGGACTCCAGGGTCCAGCCACCCAGCTACACAGCAATCCACAGAGAAAGAGTAAGATTTACAGAAATAAGAGAACAGGAAAACCACAGAGACAAAAGGTAGACAGGATAATTTAAGAAAAACTGGCTAGAAAACTAAGTCAAGCTAAGGCTTGGCATTCATAATTAATAATGAGCCTCCATGTATGATTTATTTGGGAGCTGGGTCGCGGGCTCCCCAAAAGAGTAAAATACCAGATAACAACACGTTGTATATTCCATCTGTTCATTATTTGTCAGCTGGCAAGTTTATTATTCCATTCTGTTGGCTGACCCCTTACTAAACTGATTGTTTCTTTTGCTTTTGTTCTTTCATGAGATACCATTTGCCAATGGCTGCTCTTATATCTCGTGGTAACCGAATTTCATTCAGAAAGTCCTTATTTGTGCCTAGAAGCATATTCCTTAATTTTTCTTTAGTGGTCAAAACATCTAATAATGAAGTCCTTGATTCATTTGAAGCTGACTTTCATGAAGGTTAAGAAGTAAGGATTTGTCCTGTGCTCATTGCATGAGTTGGCTGTTTGAAACCTGGGGCCTATGCAGGATTGTTTGGCTCAGCCTGGGAGGAGGGGACTAGACCTACCTGGACTGAGTCTACCAGGTTGACCTCAGTCTGTGGGGAAGGCTTTGCCCTGGAGGACATGGGAATGGGGGGGTTTGGGGGGAAGTGAGGAGGACGGGAGGGGGGAGAACAAGGGAATCTGTGGCTGATATGTAGAACTGAATTGTATTGCAAAATAAATTTAAAAAATGTACAAAAAAAAAGAAGTAAGGATCAAGCTTAAATTTTCTGTATATTGAAATATATGTTCTCTAATATTCTTTGTTGAAGATACTTTCTTTCTCAGATGTATAATTTTGGCCTATTTGTCAAAGGTCATGCAATTGCAGGTGAATAGATGTTTATCTGGGTACTGTGTTCTACTCCATTGACCTATGAGTGTATCCTTGTACTATCATCATGTTACAATTATTACTAAGTAGGGCTCTTTAGTAAAGCTGGAATCAGGTATGATACCTTCCATGGTATTCATTTTGCTTGGGATTGCTTGTGCTTTCCTTGGTCTCTTTGGCCTCCACATATTTGATTTATTGTTTTTTTCCCTGTGGCTATGAATAAAATTAGTGTGATGACCATTTTCATCATATTATTAATTCTCCCAGTCATGAGCATGAGAGGTCTTTCCTTCTCCTGGTGTCTACTTTATTTCTTCTTTCAATGTCTTAAAGTTTTCATTGTAGATGTTCATTATTTCCTTGGTTAAGTTTATTTCCACTTTTCTATTTGTTTTGGTGTGTGTGTGTGTGTGTGTGTGTGTGTGTGTGTGTGTGTGTGTGTGTGTTTACAGATGTTATCAAAGGGATTGTTTCCTTCAAACCTTTTACAATTTGGTTGTTCTTATTTTTGTTTGTTAATTTTACATCATACCAATTTGCTGAAATTATTTATCAGTTCTAACATGTTTCTTTTATGGTGGAATTTTTAGAGTTTGTTTTGTGAAGAATTGTACCATCTAAAATAAGGATACCAAGAATTCTTCTTTTTCCTATTTGTATCCCTTTATTCTATTATCTCACCACTGTAATTAAGATTTCAAGAACAATACTGAATAGGAATGGAAAGAGGACTGTCTTGTATTGTTCCTGATCTTACAGAGAACTCTGAGATTTTTCCCCTTTTGCATGATGTTGGCTATAAGACTGTCATATATGGCCTATGTTATGTTGAGTTAGCTAACTCTGTCCCTCTACACAATTTTTATCCTAAAAGGATAATGGATATTGTCAAAGGCTTTTTATGTCACTAGTAGCATGATAATGTAATTTTGCATCCTTTATTTATGTGCTGGATAACATAATTGGTTTACATATATTGAATGTCCATACATCTCTCAAATTAAACCAACTTGGTAGTGACACATTGTTGCCAGAAGTTTCTCTGGATGAGTCTCTC